CTTAGGTTATTTGTAGGGATAGTCCAGTGTCATTACTTCCTTATCAGAGCCTTGTCTGGTTTTTCTGAGCTCGGCTCACCAAGATGGTCTGCCGCACGCGAGCCCTCCAGCGATGACTCTGATCTTGCCGACCGGGGGGCAGGGTCGCCTTCTGCTCAGTGTTGTGGTGGGACCTGATCATCATTCTGCCTGGGTTGTGTAGGTTATCGGGGAAGAGTGCATTAGCGGTTGTGTCTCGAGGGGTCAGTCATTGGCCTTTGCTGAATCAGCTGAGACGCCCCTAGCAAATCAAATCCTCGACCTGATCTTTAAGGTTGACACATTCCTGAATGTTATGGCCGTGGCCCTGATGGAAGCGACAATACTTAGATTGATCCCGTCGATTGGAGGGAGATCTGGATGGTTGAGGCCATTTCAGGTTGTAATCTCGTTGAATTTGGTGCACGACTTGTTCTATGGGTGAATTAAAAGAAGTGTACCATTCGAACTGACCAGGCGGGCGGGTAAGTGTCGGTTGGTCTGCTCGAGCCGGTCAGTCTGTGTGCTGGAAAGGTCGATATGTATATTGTGAGGACCTGTGTTTGGGTTTTTTTCTTTTGTCCTTGAGGGGTGGATTTTTAGATGCGAAGTCTTGGCGGGCTGCCAAGGAGTCCTCGACATTCATATATTTTTAGGCTTTTGCGAGAAAGGCTGCCATGACGGACGGAGAGTTTTTGGAAAGGGAGAAAATGAAATCTGATGGGCGCAAACTGGCCATGAAGGCGGTGAAAATGACCTTGTCATTATTTTCCTCCACTTATAAGGCCTTGGTATTGAAACGAGTGACAAAGCTGCATAGTGACTCCCCTTCCGTCTACCGGATGTTTAGCAGTTAGGTTGCTGGATGTCGCTGCTGCTAAGCACCGATGAAATGGCTCAAGAAGAACTCGCTGAGCTAGCGAAAGAAGGTGACAGTGTCTGGAGAAAGCTGGCTGAACCATAGGCGAGCCGACCCCTTCAATGTGATAGGGAAGGCGCGACACATGATTTCGTTAGGGAAGGCATGGAGAATCATGAGTGTCTGATATGCTTCCACATGGTCAACCGGATCGGTGGTACCATCGAAAGTGTCAATCGATGGCATTTTGAACTTGGAAGGGAGAGCTTTTTCTCTGATGGAGGTAGTAAAAGGAGAGTTGACAGTAGAGGAAGTTTTGTGCTGCATGTCCTGCATGACCCCTTGTAACTGCAGCTTCATGGCCTGCAGCTCCTCGTCCTAGACAGGGGCATTATCCCCGTAAGCAGGAATCAGAGGTTAAACACTACTAGCCTTGCCATCGTGAGTGACGACCTAGTGCGGTGAGAGGTGATTATGGAAAGGCGGTGGCGTCTCTTGCCGAAGTTATAAGCCGGAAGGAGGACGGTGCGGACCATCGAGATTTGACGGTTGAGTGTGTGGGGCGAATGGTGGAAATGTTCTGTGGGGCATTTGTGGTGGGAGTTGGCAGTGATTGTGGGCTTGTTTGGGGTACGGGGGAACTATTTGTAGTGATGTGGGAGGAATAGGTAGATCACGCTGGAGTAAAGCATTGATCAAGGCTTGGTTTTGTTCGGTCAGACAGTTGATGCTGTTGGTAAGTTTTGCGAAATACGGAGGTGGGTTATTTGGGTTAGAGGACTCAACTTCAGGATCACCAGCATTGTGTTAGGAAGCCATGGACCTGGTCGCATTGTTTTGAAATCCGGATCGGACTAGCCGGACCGGGTCTTGTTCCAGTCTGGAAAACTCTCTAAACCAAGACTAAGGCCAAAGCCGAGGTAAAATTGAAAAATCGGTAGACCCGACAGTCAAACAGGTAGAACTGGCGACCCGGATCGAGTTTTTAGGGTCGGCCCGTTTTTTTTTTTTTTTTAAATTCTGTCTTTAACTATATTTTTTCTTCTTTTGTTTTCTTTCTTTCTTTCTTATATATATATATTAAAATTTTGACTAAAAATTCTTACTTTAAAAGTCTCCTCTCATAAGGAGGAGTCTCATTGGAAGCTTGAGGATATTATGAAAGTCTATTGTTATTTATAGGAAAAAAAATTTCAAAGAGAACCTACAAAATTCAATGTGGGATTCAATCAAATTATTTGAATCATATAGATTGGAGGGAGAGTTGAAAATTTTATTTCCCTCCAAAATTAAATCTAGCATTCAATCAATTTGTTTAGAGGGAATGTCAAAAAAATTTAATTTCTTTAAAATAAGTGACTTTTTTTTATCAGTTAAGATTTTATTAAATATTATTAACAAATACTATGCAACAAATTTTATTTTTATTTGAGTATTTATATATATTTTTATTTATTTATAATTTCTAATTATATTTTTTAGTTATATAATATTAATTATGACGTCATGGTTCAACTGCTTTGGCCCGACGGTTGAACCGGTGACCCGCCCACTCGGTCCCTTTTTTGGTTCGCTCACCAGTCCAGTTTTCAAAACATTGCCTAGTCGTTACCATTCACCCTAACATAGGAGAGAGGTGAAGACGGGTTCCCTCCGGTGAAAATGAACACAATTGTTGACTGGAGTTAGGTTTTCCCACAAACGGCGCCAACTGATGTTGCAGTTATTCCTACGAAGGATGGGTCGGGCTAATCCACGATTCTAACAGGTCTGTTGGCCTTGAAGTCCACGGAGCATTCCGCATAAAGGTCCAAGAGGGAAGGTAATCCCCCAGCAGACACTCTAACGATCGAGTTAGGATAGAGTAGTTTGATTGTGTCGAGAGAGAAGAGGGGTGAAAAATCTCGAAGCCCCCTAGATATTGATTTGTGATTATGTATCAATTTTAAGTAGTAAATAACAATCTCAATCAAACAATTAAGACAAATTAACACAACGATTTTATATGAAAAAACCATAATTAGAGCGTCTCCAATTGTGATAAAAAAAACCATGGGCAAAAGTTACAAAATAATTCACTAAGAAGACAAATGAATTACACAAGTGTACTCTCAATTACCTAACGAATCCACACCGAATCGAACCAACCCCTATGTGCCTCTTCTAGCCTCATCTTCACCTTGGAATTGTCTTGCTCAACATTGAATCCACAATGCCGATATCGAATCACAACGATGAGCCACTCTAGAATCCACGGAAGAACAACTCTTTCTTTTGTATTGAATAAACAAATAATCCTTTGATGTATACTTCTTAAATCATAAGTTGAATACTCAATCAAACATCAAAGAAAACTAGCAAAATAGCTCCAGATATAAACCCTAATATCCAAGAAGAAGATCTTGAAGCGTAACCCTAGATTTGGAGTAACTTGAGGTTTTATAGAAACTGAGATCGCGAGGACCACTCGAGCGTGGGAATGGATGCTCGAATGGGGAAATGGACACTCGAGCGTAAAAACACGCCTCACAGTATATTTGCAGACAAGTCAAACTGCTGGAACCCAACATTCTCCGCTCGAGCGTCCAAACGGCCGCTCGAGTGGACAGGCAACTTTAAATGCACTTTTGCATTTTACTTAAGAGGCGCTGCCCCTCAACCTCGCCGTGGCGCTGCCCCGGACCCACCAAGGGCCGCTAGCCCCTAGACCCTCGCGAGCTGACCGGGCAACTTAATCCCTGTCATAGTCAGCGAAGTGGCAAACATGAAAGAATAAACATCACAAACTTCTCTGTAAGGCACAATTCGGGTTGAATTCATATCTAAAAAACTCATAACCTCATAAAAAAGCGAATAAAAGTACAACTGAAAGGAGTTTTGTCAAATGGGATTGTCAAGAATAAAAACTTAACAGGGGGGATGAAGAACTTAACCTTTAACGTATCTCGGAAGCTTCCTTATATCCTTTACTCATCATTTCCTTATCCATTCCCGACTGTCTTGTTGGCCGAAAGTCTATATTCTAGCTTGCATCGTTCATGGTGAGTTTGTATCCTTCGACGTGAAGGGGTTATCGCATTTAATGCTACGAGAGCCTCATTAATGGCTGATGTGTGGGTATAATAACTTTGCAGGATCTTTGTCTGCTTACATGGTTGATTCCCTGCCCGACAGGTGTCTAAATACTATTGGTCCTGGTCCATCATTGATTTCTCAAGGTTACTAGGCTTAATATTTAATCTGTGGGCTGAGTCCTGAGCAGTGGGCCGGACCCACTTGTGGGCCCATCAGTATCACATGCAATGTTTTGCTCATATTTTCCTTATCTATTATTATTATTTAAGTTCAAAAATTAAATTTACTTTTTAAGTTTAATGATGTGATAATTAATTAAGATATCTAATGCAATACTCTCTCTTTCATATCTTCCCTAATCATCTAACCAATTATATCGCTTGCACATTGTTAATTTAGAAAATGAGTTTTAAAAAAAAAAAATTCAATAACATTTTCTTTATCACCTAAAAAAGTAATTAGTTTGCAAAGTGGGCAGGCATATTAATGAAAGTTTACCACCTTACATCTACAACTATGGTGCCAAAACCCGATATCAACAACAATATTCAATGATCAAAATACTTAGGAATCAAATGCATAAAGTTCTTCAAATTAAATTCGATTCTTTAAAAATAATGCATCTAGGAAAATTCTGTACAGTTGTAAGCTTTGGTTTTTGAAAATAAAATTAAATATGACATAAAATTAAGTGATAGTACATGACTGCACACTAGTCAAAGCAGCAGAACTTTATACAACATTGCATAAGAATTAAACAAACTAAAATATAGAAACTGATCATAGAATTAGAAACAACACACCTCATGTGACAAGTTTGCACATTAATGAAAGCAGCAAAATTCAACAGTAGAATATATACATTTTATACAGCAGTTATATAGGAAATAAACATTCTAAGAATACAGAAACTAATCATAAAATCGGTGACAATCCATCTCATGGGAAAGGATTGTGTTTCATTTTATGATCGACTTTTTTTTTTTTTGTAAGTAAAAGAATTACATAAAAAAAAATTTCCCAACCAATAACCTGCCAAGATTGAACCTTTAGGTGGACAACAAATCATGATCCATAAAGAACAGAAGTTCATTTTTACATATACAGTAGAATCCTGTTCTTCCAAACTTCACAAGGCAACAATTGGAGACACTGATGTGAACTGAACAGTTAATGTCTTCATCAAACACATATACACACATATCTGCACACTACCTAAAAAAAAAAAAAGCACCAGCCACCCAACAATATGCAACATTTAGAAAAAAATCTTACTCGAAAACCAACAAGACATGCTCATGTAGGCCACTAGATCATATGCCAATTTACTCATGATTCACAACCCACCAATCGGTTTGGTGCACAATAGCATATTTCTTAGATCAATGCTAATTTGGGAAATCAAGGGTTTTTTTTTTTCTTCATCAGCCAAATTTAGGGTTTTGTGGTATACTTGTACTAGGGTGATAGATACGCATCAATATCAGTGATATTAAATCGGTTAATATTTGACAATATTAACCGATATATCGGTGAATATCAATATTAGAAGTTTAAAATTTTAATATTTGACTAATATTAAATATGTATCAAATAATATTTAAAACTCTGGTAGTGTGTACTATGATGGAGTTCTCCTGCCTCGAATCAAGACCGGTAGACCACCACAGAGAGAGGCGGTGAGGCCGGGAGAGAACCGGAGGTGGCTGTGGTGCGGTGCAGCTAGTTTGATGTGGAACCGCCGCAGCAACGAAAGCGCCACGCTCTTCAGCTCCACCAGTGCCATTTCTTTGCCCAAACAGACCCTAAGACCAGCCTGAAAAACCGGGTACTTAAAAGGGTTCTCTTGAAAGAACACACCATCTTTCAACCACCTTTCTGGCTTGAATTGCAAGCAGTCTGGTCCCCAAATCTGTTCCATTCGCCCCATAGCATAGGGATGATAAGTAACCCTAGTTCCTCTCTTCACAGAAGTTCCATCAGGCAAAACATCATCTTCCAAACAGAACTTTGAATCAATTTGAATTGGCGGGTATAGCCTCATGCTCTCATAGATTGTTGCTTGCAAATAATGGAGTTCTCTCATTTGTTCCAAGCTTGTGAGCTCTAAACTAGCTCCGATGACTCGATCCGCCTCGGCTAGAATAGCTAGCTCTACCTCAGGGTGGTTAGCCAGAAGCCAGAAAAGGCTAGTCAAGGTCGAAGCAACAGTGTCGCGACCAGCTAAGAGGAAGCTTATGACTATGTCTCTCAAGTATGTTTCATCATTTACAGTACCCATGAACCGAGAAAGAAGATCTTTATGGTTCGAAAACCCCATTTTTCGCCGCTGCCTTATGACCTCTTGAGCCAAAGTGTTGATCATGTTGATAGCTTCGCTAAGTTGCTTCTCAGAACCCAAATTCAACACTCTTTTCATCTTCCAAATCCACGGCGAAGCTGTCATTGCTCTCTCAGCAGATAATTTAGAAGCTCTGTCGAAGGAGATAGCGAATTCCGACATGGGTAGGGTTAATTCTAAGCACTCTGGATCCAACCCAAATGAGAATTTGCAAATACTATCAAAAGAAAATCTCCGAAACACGTCTTGAAGATCCAACATGATATCTTCTTTGTCTGAAACCGAGGATAAGAGTGGGATAAGGCGGTTTTCGATTTCAAAACTGACAATCTCAAAAGCATATGATCTTATTGAGATTCTTCCAAGCTCTAGACTTGCCATTTTCCTCTGAAACCTCCATAAATCACCGTCGACATTGAAGATACCCCTTCCAAGAAGATCACCCAAGATTGCAGAGAAGGGTTTGCCTTTTGGGTAATTCTCAAATCTTGTTTTGAGCATGTACTCAACGTTTTCAGGGTTAGCTGTGATTGTGTTGCCAAGCACATGTATGTGAATGGTTTTGGTAGGAGAATTTTTGAGGAGATGAGTGTACCAATCACAGAGGTTAGTGAATTGGAGTGACCAACTTGAGGTGATAAATGTGTGACAAATTTCACAGTTGCACCAAAGCCTTGCTTTGAATAAATAGAGGGAGAGGGAGAGGGAGAAGAGAGAGAAGATGGTGATGATTATGATGAGAGAGATGGTGGTGAAGGAAAAGGAGGCATGAAGAGACTGAAACCACCTGGAAGCTTCAGACTCCATAGATGATGATCAATGATGGGATAACGATAAAAAAGGAGAAGAGGAAGAGGAGAGACCAATGAGAGAAAGAGAAGAAAGCAATTGTTGTGTTTTATATATATTTGTCAAAACAATACATGTTTGTGTCTTTGTAATTTTACATTGTAGTGCTACTCTTATAAGTTTTCACTTGATAAAGTAATGTGTGTGACGTTAGTTATATGCTTGATTCAATCAATCAGATAGTGAAAATTGGGAATATGGTACCAATAGTTTCTATATTTTAATTTTATTTAATTGGTTCTAGTATTATCTTGAATTTATTATTTTATCTCAATTCGATCTGATTTGTTACGATTGTTAGTATTTTTTTTTAACGAAAAATCTGCACATGAATGACGTGTTATGCTCTTATTTGCAAAATTGTAAACTTTTTCAATTGAGTAAGTTAATCTCAACCAACCCAATAACCATTTTCTTTAAAAAATCTTAATTGACATTATTAATTGAATTAAATTGATATAAAATTTAAAATTAAGAATTAAAATCGAGACAATTAAAATTACAGAAACTAAGATAAAAGAAGAGGCAAAATAGGGAAATTATCGACATAATTTACCAGTGAAAATTTTATGGGTTAAATATGTTGATTTAATTATATTAAAAATATAAGAGCTAAAAAATAATTTATTTGATGATTTTTTTTATTGAGTGAAAATATTATGTAAATAACATTAATATCACAGAATAATCCGGCAGAGAGTATCTAATAAAAATTTAAAAAAAGAAGCATATGTAAATTATATTATAGATACAAAACAACATATACAATCAGAAATGTGGAGCAAAATAGACGACATAAAAAAATATAGGGGGGCATGGATAACGCGTGGGCTAAAGAACAAAGTTCAGTTGGGAGACGCATCTTTTTGCATCACCTAATGTAGTTTTGGACCCCTTCACGTGCACATACTCACTATTTTAATTAGTTTTTTAGTTATTTGATTGTTTTAATCTGGCTAAAAAAGTTATATTTAGAATGATAGTTGACTTTTTGACTATTTAGTTATTTTAGTTTGGCAAAAAAAATTGTGTTTAGAATAATAATTTTTTTTTTTTTTTTGTAATTGATTTGATGGTTATAAGAAAAAAAAATTTATTATGATTTGAATATGACATTTTATTTTAATAACTATTTTAACCTATTATATTTTTATTAACTATTTTAATTAAAATGTCACAAATCCAAGTTTCCAAACAGAAATATGTCAGTAAATCTATGGGCTCAGAAACAAATTGCTCAAATTTTTAGCCGAAAGTAGGCTAGGATTTATTGTATAGTACGAGATCCACGATTATAATAAATTTGGATTATTTATTGTTGATTTTGGATAATATTTTGGAGAAGTGTTTTAGGTACGTAGCATAGCAAGTAATCTATAAACTCACAAAAAAAAAAAAATTTGTCCAAATTTTTTACTAGAAAGTGATTGCATGGCTAAGATTAACTTAGGTCTCGTTTGACAACTTCATTTTTTAGTTTAAAAGTTAAAAAGTCACTAAAAAAATTAAAAAACTAACAGCTTATACCAAAAAGTCAAAAATTATTTTTTCTCTCTATTTTTTACACATCTTTTCGTATAAAAACTAAAAAATCATTCTAAACATACTAGTTTTTTTATATTATATTTTAGTCAAAATATTAAAAAATTACTAAAAAAATATGTTCTTAAACGAAGCCTTGATGTAGTGTAGATTCCACAGTTATAACAAATTAGAACCACTTGATGATTTTTTGATAATATTTGACTAAATTTTCTGAATATGTGGCATGCTTGATTGTATATGGGTGGGACAGAAAAACTAAAATTAAAATTTTAAAAGAAAATTTTCAATTGTCACATAGTAGTCAGATTATAGAATCAGACAAAGTGTAAAGTCCTACCACCTTTTATGAGAGATTGGTAGAAGATTTGACTATGAAAATATAGAAGTGTAAATGAATAAGTGCGTCAGTATAAATAAAGTTACATTTTTTAATTGCAGGGAAGCACAAACGTTTTTACAACTTCATATTTTTGTAATTATTTTTTATTTATTCTTATTGATTTACAATCTCTCTTTATTTTTTCAACAATCACCCAAATACCCGATTATATCTTGATAGGAGTCCATTATAGTCCCCTAATCAATCGTAGTCGATTATATAAGAAAAGTGAAATTTGAGCTTCTATTTTATTGTGATCATCTTTTCAAAAAAGAATTAGAAATGTGAGACCTCAATAAAAATAATAATAATAATTAATTAATTAATTAGAAAGTAAGAGAGGCATTTAGAATATTTTAGACAATTTACCTAAAATTTATAACAAAATAGAGCTCAAATAGTATAAGCATTTTGTCTTATCATCTTTTGGCTAATTACATTTAGACAGCCGTAAGAATTAGACAAATCAATTTCAAGAATAAATAATATTGTTAGAGTATACACCATAGGCAATACATAATATATATTTTATGTACTTTTGTTATGGAAAATGATTATTATTATTATAGAAGTTGATCCAATTTCTCTCAGTTATAACATTTGACGATTGTAAAATAATCATGTGAGGAGTCTGAAAAAGTAGTTCCAAAAGTGATAAAAATAAAATAAAATATGTGGTAAAAATTTAAACATTGTGTGATGATGTAAGTTAATTGATAACTTTTTCCAGTAATTTTTTCAAACTTAATGTAATTATCGTTTTTTATTTGGGGGATTATGATATGGTAAGAGATTTCATACCCTTAAGTTTAGATAAGACAGCGATTGCATCCTTTACGTTTTGTAAAAAATGTCATCTAAAGTTACGAAACGTCATCTAAAGTTTTATGAGCTTATCATTTAAAATTAAAAACTCATCGAGACTTTTTTATATACAAAAAATGGCTACTGTCATATCATTTTGGTGATTGATTTTGTAAAAACAAATATAGGATAACATTTTGTCCCTTGTATCATTTTGATTCTCACACTTTTAAGTAACTCGGATTTGACTATTAATTTTGAATTTTGAATTTTATATCAATTTGATTCAATTGATAATACTGATTAGAATTTTTGACGGAAAATATTCACCGAATTTGTTGAGATTGACTCACTTAGTTGAGCGAGTTTACAAATTTACCTCTAAAAATATGACGCATGTTACTAATGAGCACATTTTTTATCAAAAAGGTTGAAACAAAACCAAAAAACAAAAAAAGTCCAAGTCAAAGTTAAAATCGAACCAATTGAAATTATAGAAATTAAGACGACACAAGAATCAAAGCATAGAAACCACTAATGTAATTTGCCAAAAAAAAATGAATTTTAAAAAAGTATACACTCAGCTTGGCCTTTCATGGGCCAGATATATAGGCAATTGGAATGCATGTTCATGTTCATCAAAAGGGATTGCTCCTGCCCTTAGCTACCCCATGTGTATACGTTTAACTGTTCTTTTTAGAAGAATCAAAATCAAAATCAGTGTTCTTTTTTAGGAGAATCAGAATCAGAATCAGTGTGTGCCCTTTGTTCATGTGATTGAAACATTCCAGCTAATTCTTTGGAAAACAAATGAACGAAATAGAAAAAAATAGATAAAGAAGAATGGTAATTAAACTACAATATGCCTTTCCAGGTGCAAATTAGCAGTCAACATGTGATTAGTACATTATATCAGTTTTGTTAATAATTTTGCAAGATAGGCCCTCATTATAAACATATTACTTTAGAAATAAACAAAAATATTTTAGGAACTTAGCAGGGAAAAAAATAAAATGGGCTGTGCATTAATCAAAAAAAGTTGGTTTCAACTTATATGTAGTTTGCAAGGGTGGTTGGGAGTTCTGGTTTTTGGCAGTTGGTTTCTTACCAACTGATCATTCTTTTTTCTTTCTTCTTCCTTTTTGATTTTTATTTATTTTTTATTTTAAATTATTACCATTAACAATATATTACTTTTTTGTCAATCAAAAAAAAAAATAATAAAAAAATTAGGAATTTAATACCATAATTTTTGCTCACCAATAATGTTACAAACACAGAAAAATGATGAAAATCTAATGTGACAACATTACATTCATTTTGATAGAGTGTTTTGTCCAGACTAAATGACAAAAAGACGAGGCTTCGATGGAAACAATCTAGTCAGCCAGGTCGGGTCGATTAGAAGTTTTATTTTGATAATTTGATCAGCTCATTTTATAAATCTCAATTTGTAGATTATTCATAAAAATAATTGGCACTATAAAAAATTAAAATTTTAGAGACCAAAATTTAGGGACAAAATTATTTTTTAGGGACCAAATAATTTTGTTGCGAAAAGTGTCATTATTATATTTTTAGTAAAAAAAAATTAGACATTAGTGATGAATTATTATCTTTTTTGGACCAAAATTTGTCTCAAAAAATAAATCATTTTGAGACCAAATTATTTTATTCATAAAAGTCTATTTATTAGTGATATTTTCAAAATTTTGTCGCTAAAAACTTTATTTTTTACTTTTTGGGATGACCTTTTAGTGACTCTCCTCATGACAATGGAAATTAATCTCTAAATGTCTTTTGTAGCAAAATTTTTCACTTTTACAAACCAAAGCATTTAGTTTCTAAAACTTATATGTTGTAGTGTAGATTAATTCATTAACTGTAACCACGTGCCTTTATCGTATTTATTTTCAAATAAATTAGTGATCTATTTCCAAAGTCATACTTGTCATTCATTTCTTTAAAAATAAATATAATAAAATAATATGATTATGATTGTTTACACACAAAGATTTATAAAATGAACGATTTATATTATTAAAATAGTACCCGTAATAAACATCATGAACTCAATTAGATGGTTCAATCCAAATACTTGGACTGGAGAGGATCTGATTTCTTTGGAACATTTAAGCTACGTGTTGTCTATGGTAAGAGATTTCATACCCTTAAGTTTAGATAAGACAGCGATTGCATCCTTTACGTTTTGTAAAAAATGTCATCTAAAGTTACGAAACGTCATCTAAAGTTATGGTGGCATTTTTACGCCCTTTACTGTGTTCTTAAAAGTTTTTTTTTTTTTTTCCCTCTCTCTCCTCCTCCTCCTCCTCCTC